AAAAGGGATGGGAAAGCTGCCCGTCGTCTGACATGTAGATGCCTGTGGTTGCCGGTAGCCCTGTGAAACCGGTCAAAAGCTCTTCGGAGCGTTTGCGAAAGGGAGGGGTTGGGCCAGGTCCTCTGACACCACTCGGGGCACGGTCAGCGCCCATGGGGTGGAGTCTTGTACTTCCTGGTCCTTTTCCTGACTTCACAGGGTGAGAAGCAACTGATGCGTCCGAAAAAGTGAATTGGGGGGATTAACAGTAGCGCAGAGCCTTCTCGTTGGGCACGTTGTGGGTGGCACGGTCCCGCAGTGTGTGGGAGAGCGGTAAACCCGCCCCAAGTCCCTCTCGCTTTGCCACCGGAGCGTTTGGGAAACCCCTTTGAAAACCCTGGATCAGTTTGAGAGAGGACTGCTGGTGGAACTGTTGTCTTCCAGACACGGTGTCATGGCTTAATAGCAGGAGGATGTCCCTATGCGAGTGTATGTAGAGTCACTGCTCATACTGCTTGCAGTTGCTGGAAAACAATTTCTCTTTCTGGTAGTAGTTCTTACTACTGCATTTTCTGTCCTATCAAAAGCATCCTAAAGCATAATTTGTGGCTCCTAAACATTCATTTAGCATTATCTCGTATATAGTCTATGTTGAAAAAAGTATTCTAAATACTATTTTGTTCTGAAGCAGGGTGCAGGCTGGCTTGCATAGGAAAGATCCTAAAGCAAAACCTTAGTACCTAAATTGGTAATAAAGAAGCAAGTTAATTTTTGGATCTTTTGCCTTTCATTTGCTAACCGTTTTAGCCTACCACAGAGAACCTTGGTACAACCCTTGCTACAAGGGTTGTTTTGTCAGTGTTGTAGGACAAAATTGTTTAAGCAGCTGTAAATACTTAAATGCTATGGAGTAAATTTTCATTTCTCCTAGCAGCCAAAACCCACTTCAGCTTCAGTTTGAAGCCAGCCAACAGAAAGTCACCAGCAAAAACTGTGCCACCATACATCCTTATTTACTCCTTATGTCAGGGAGGAAATTCTAAGCATCTTCAGTCAAGCGTTGTGCTGGGACGAGAGGCAAGCCTTCAGGGTAAGCAGTAGCTCCAGGCAGGAGACACGCGTCGCAGTGGGCTGGTTTGCCTCTCAGAATTTCTGCTCCCTGAATATCACCTTTACTGTGTGGAAAGCAGTACAGGGAGGGGGGGAGGAAATAAGAATTTGTATGGATTTGCCAAGTCATGATACTTTTGAAGTACCTCTTCACAGTTGGAGGGGTGGTTTGTTTAAATTTCAGTGTCTTGGTAATGCTGGCATTGGTAGGAAACCACAAAGTAGGAATTTCCGCTTCAAGGTACTTGTCCTCCCTTCTGGCCTGGGTATCACATTACGAAACAGATAACTCCCTGAGCAATTAATCATAAGAAGTTTGATATCTTTTGTGCCTGACAGCATGGGCTAGCTCACAGTCAAGCTGGTTCTAAGTCGTGGAACTGGTTTGGATTCTTTTTTGTACTGAACCATCTCATTTTGGATGAGCTGTAGAATTGCAGTATTTGAATTTAACCTGCCCTTGGTCTGTTCTTTTGAGCTTGGGAAGAGATCTGGAAGTTAGTAATGAGGACTTTTTCACATAAGCCTAATTTCTTTGGGAACCAGGGTGAAAAATTAAGCCGACATTGACACTGTAAAAAGTTACTGTAGCTCATTACAACCAATTATATAACCAATGTCTCGGGAATTCAGAATTTAAAACCGCTGTCGTGGACCACAAACGTCTGTTTTCCTTTGGAGTTTGCCATTTTCTTATCATGTGTGAGTACTGTCATTTACTGAAAAAATTAATTTACCCTGTCAAATGTCACGTGGAGTCACCTGTTCTTGAGATGTAGCTTTGGTGTCAGGTGCAATAGCATACCCTTGTTTTGAGTGGTATTGGGAAGAATTCCAGAACCCTTCAGGTGCAGTAGGAATCATTAGGATCACTCAGGTGTCCCTGTTTCTGTTCTCAAATCCTCATATCCTAGGAGAAGTGGTTTGGTTTTTACGTGCCTTCCCTCCCCTCCCTTTTCCCTTGTAGCGTAGGGCTGGGTTTACTTTGTGAATGTGCAACTTTAAAAGATACATAATTGCTTATTTTGCGTCTTGTTTCAAGGCAGTTAAAGTTAATAATTGTTTCAAGTAAGTAACTGCAGCCACTCATTATACACAATCATATCTTCTTACACAAAATACTTGATACTTTAAATATTTTTTTAAGCAAGCCCCAGTTTTTTTATTCTTTATGCTTTGTACTGTAATTTCAAACAATACTTAAACCATCAGCCAGATAATTTAAATTACCGGATAGCCAATCTATTTTCTTGCTTGCAGCAATATAGTCAAGGTAATTGGTTTCTTCTTAACTTTTGCAACAGAAAATAAAGTTGCCGAAGAAAACAGCCAGACGATACCCGGTGTATGAGCTCTATCTCTACGGGGAAGGGCACTACGCCGAAGAAAACAAAAATCTCCTGCTGACAGGAATTCCAGTTCTCTTTCTTCCTGGGAATGCTGGCAGTTACAAACAAGGTCAGTGTTTAGCAAAGTCAAAGGTGTTACAAAGAGCATAACATTGAACCATTGCGTAATGGCAAGGAGTTTTCTGTTTGAGATAATAGCAACAGAAGTCATAGTGGTCGATCATATTATGGTCTAGAAATAAGCAACATCTTGTGGCTTGCCCTGTGGCTTTGTTATTTCCTACCTCTGTGTAGTGTTGTTTTCTCCTTAGTATCATCTTCTCACTGCGCACATGGCCTGGTTTCATTTGCCAGGCTATTCCCTCTTACTTTTCTAGGCTCCAAATGAAAATAAGTAATAGTTTTAAAGCATTTTTACTTTTCATTGTAAATACCGACATTAGTAGGTGAAGGATGAAGTATTGTGTTTAAGTGTTTATTCAAGTATCCAGTGTTTATTCCAGGTTGGGTCTGTCAGACCATACTTTTGTTCTCTGAAATGTGCTTTGAAACAGTAACACTCCTACCACGGTAGCCAGGTTGATGTGTATGTGTGGGGAAAACCACCACAGTCTAAACCCTGATGTCCTACTGTGGTCGCTTTTCCTTGTGTTTGCATGAACTTGATTCAATTATCTGGTTTCAGAGGACCTTTACAAAGTTATTTACTTTGAGAACATGTATCTAGGTGGTATTTGGGAATGTTGTGCTGGAGTTGATGGTCTTCAAAGGAATTTTAGGAAAGCCTAGCACTAGCAGAGCCTCTAGAGTTGAAGTCAGAACTACTTGTTTTGTCACCTTGTTCTGGTGGCGGTAAGAAGGTGCAAATGAGAAGAGAGGCTCTCAGGAAGAGGAACATAATCCTTCATCTTGTATGGATTTTTTTTTTTTTTTTAAAATAGCTCTGCAGCCAGTGGTAACCTAGTTTGCATGGTTAACTGCCATAAGCACAGTATGCAGCTCTTGCTAACTCATTCCAAACTTTCTTTTCATCTCATCGGGTTTGTTCTTTTCCACTTTCTTCTGTAAGCTCTTGTTATGGTATGCTTACTAAATTTTTTTTTTATCAGAGGGACCCTTATAAAAATGGGAAATAATTACTGCTTTTCTCATTTGACAGTTCATTTCTGACAGTCTGATACTCTTGCTCTCATTATTTATATCTTCAGATATGGTTTTGCATATTAGAAAAGAGATTATTTGCTTTTGGAAGTCTTTTTTCATCCTTTTTTTACTTCTGTAAATTACTAGAAGTGAACAATGGGTTGGAGATAACATCTGTTTCCTAATAGATTATGTATTTGTGTTTGTCTCCTAATGATGGTGCTAAGCAGAGACTGTAAGGCTGTTCTGATTGATGTGGTTTCTTTTCCTAGTACGTTCTCTTGGCTCCATTGCACTTAGAAAAGCAGAAGATGTTGACTTCAAGTATCATTTTAATTTCTTCAGTGTCAACTTCAATGAGGAGTTGGTTGCGTTGTATGGCGGTAGTCTGCAACGACAGACCAAGTTTGTGCATGAATGCGTAAAAGTAATCCTGAAGTTGTATAAGGTAAGTGGTGGCTTTGCTGAGTAATGAACTTGCATTTTGGAATGGATTTCTGGGCTGCCTTTTCTGCTGGAAAACAGAAGAATGATGAAGAAGGGAGGGAGACTTTATATTGTTGTGTAGATAATGGAAGGTGATAATAGTGCCATAGAGAAGTGCTGCTTTTTAATAGACTCTTAATGGCTGTGACAATCCGGGAGCCTTGGTGTTAGGGTCTGTATTGTGTTTCTAAATAAATACTTCCATGTGCAATGTGTGCTTTTCTTGTAGTAGAGATTTTCCCTAGTTTATTAAAATATTAATATAGCATCACCTTACATCCAGTTTTCTCTAGGAAAGTTCTTTGATAACCTCTGTCCCCCAGAGTCTTGGAAATTAAAATAAGCTGAAGTTTCTTATGCTTACACGGGCTATATAGTATTTCCTTTAGAGCTGCAAACTGCACGTTAAGCACGTTTTTTGAGATAGCAACTACTCTGATACTCGTTTTGTAAACTTGTCAAGTTGATACTAATTAATATTATCCTCAAGAAGACATAAGTTAATTTTTTGGGGAAAACGTGTAACTGATAACCACAGTTCAATGTCAAATCTGGTTTTGATGTGCCTAATTACTCTTTGCTCTTTGCTTAAGGATCGAGAATTTGCACCGAGCAGTGTTGCAATTGTAGGTCATTCCATGGGTGGTCTTGTTGCAAGAGCATTGCTTACTCTGAAGAATTTTAAGCCTGGACTAATAAACCTCCTCATTACACAAGCCACACCTCACGTTGCACCTGTAATGCCTCTGGACAGATACCTTACCGGTAAGTATTGCAGGTTATCTAATTACTTTTTGTTTCTTTATTGATCCTCTCGGGCATTGGTAGGTGAGATCTTCTAAATCAGCATCAGAATGTGCTGGTTTGTTTTCTTTAATTAATCTATTCCTTTGTTACTGAGGTAGTTGTGTGAGAGCACTAGGATACTGAAAGGAAGTAGAGTGTCATGTCAGATAGATTATGTGGACTTGAGTTTCTGTGCAGGGCCTGGACCTCGCAATGATTTGTAATTTTAGTAAGTTGCAGAGTGTGCTACTATATTTGTAAACTCTCCGGAGAATCATTCTCTTTTGTTTCTTTTCTTTTGTTTAAAACTTGACCTCTGTAACTGTTTTTTATACTAAATAGAGTTGCTAAATTTAATGTTTGTCATGCCCAAAGGTTGAGGGAGTAAGAATATTGAATCTAGATATAATTATATGTTATATATATATTTACATAAAAGATTGTATTTTCTGCTCACTGTGGCATAAAAAATGAGGTATAATCCTGTACTATACCCTTCTGGAAAAGCTAGATTTGACTAAACTATACTGATGAAGTATGTGCTCAGTGGTAATTGTGCTGCTACATGTAGATATTGAGGGAATTGGTGAAAGAAAGGGAATAGACATTAATTTTCATTATTCTCTGGCACCCAAGAGGAATGGGTTATCTTTAGCTGCTGAATTTGATTTATTGTGTGTGTATTAATTCTTGTTCCTACAATTGATGGCAGTGCAATGCTTTTTCCTTGCTGACTGTTTCTGGACTGTGGCTGTCTGTGAAATAAATCTGTGGTTTGCTACTTCAACAATGTATGTGCTCAGCTGATACAGGAAGTGTATCTGTCTTTCCCAACTGCTACCTCCTTGGGGTTAAAACAATAATTTTCCTTCTCAATGTGAATCAAAAGTGAAATGAGCTTGAATGCCTTTAGGGGGGCTTACAGAAGCTTTTAGCTAAATGTTTCTGTAGCTTTTTTTTGTATATCAAATAGACTTATGGGGAAATTGTGATTGATTTTAATGTTTTTTTCTAGATTTTTATACAGCTGTAAATAATCACTGGATTCTAAAGGCCCAAGATTTAAGAAATTTAACTACCCTTTCTGTGGCGGGAGGATTCAGAGATTACCAAGTTCGTTCAGGACTGGCTTTTCTACCGAGATTGAGTGAACATGACAGTGCCTTATCTGTTGTGGTAAAAAAGCAAACTCTGTTTTTGGTTTCTGCATGGACCTATGTTAGATAGCTGTTTCTGTAATGCATGCATCAGTGTCTAATTATAGTCTATATGTGCAGCATAGTATAACTGAATGTGAAAATGCTACATATGAAAACACAAAGTAGATGGTGTGCAGTTATAAAACCAAAAATAGTTGACATAGTATAAATGAATGTCCAGTGGAAGAGGTTGTGTTAGGGTGGATTTGAATCATCTACCAATTGGTACTGTTTCTTCTCACCAACTTCTTGCACCTTTTTAGTTTCAGAACTCCGGTTTTATTTTCCTGTGTTTCTACAAGAGATGTGTGTGTACAGGCTGACAGATGTGCAGTGTAGGAGTAGGCTCCTGGTTTGATTTTAAAAAGTCAGCCTTGGTTTTGAGCCGCCTTTTTGTATTTATTGTTTTTCAAAGAACTTAGGAACAGAAAGGGTCTACTGGATCATCGAGTCCAGTTTTCTGCTTTTTGTGGGCATCTATCTATTTTCAAAATTAACCGGGCAACACCTTAGAAGCAGTTAGGTTTGTTGTTCCATCCCCCTGCCATCAACCTGTTCCCAAAATGGAAGAAGCTGGAAAACATTCCAGAAAACTGTAATTTCCAACTTCCATTTACAGTGCAAGCCAGCTTTTAAATGTGTTTGTTCTGACATCATAGTTGTCATTCCCTTGGTGTTTACCTCCCTGTCCATCGTACAGAAAGCTGTCTCTAAATAGACTCAGCTCTGATTCTGCTACACTAAGAAGATTAACCCTGTATTCCCTTTGTCCTAGTAACCGTTCCCTGGATCTGCTCTACTAATATCTCTTGAGTGTTGGTGACCAGAATTTTGCATGAGATCTCATGTGTAGTGGTACCAGTTCTTTCTCATGTTGTTTTATGTGGTGTTTTTTTGGTTTACGGGTTTTGGGGTTTTTGTTTTGTTTTGGGGGTTATGGTGTTGTTTGTTTGTTTTTCTTGCTAGCTGAAATGTATTAATAGTTCACAGCTTACTTGAATCGAGTTGTGCAACTAGGTGATGAGCTTCATTTCTGGAAAGCATTATTAATATTATTAGACCCTAAAATGCAATCATACAATACACTGATAGAAATCAGTAGCTTCAAACTGTCCAGCTCTTTCTGCATGGTGTCCTGATGCTCTGTTCTGTTGAGGATGCCCTTGCTCTTCTTAGCAGCAGCTTTCATTGGCATGCTTCTATTCTTGCATACCAAGACCACTTATTAAAATAGTAAGATTGGTCATAGAAGCAGTCTCTGAAGAAATTATTGGTCAGTTTGTTCCATACCACTATTTGCCCTTTCACCATTAGTCTCTGTATCTGACATAGATAATAACTTAGTCATTTTGTTTTACAAGTTGAGTGCTTCAGCACTTGTAAGATTTTTGACTGAAAAAGTCATTCTGTTGTACCCCAGTCCCTGAAACTCTTAAGATAAATGCTATTCTTAGTACTTGCACCAATATGTGTAAATAAAGAGGGGAAAGGCTTGCTTAAAATTTTTACATGTTGAATACTAACAAAATCTTAACTGTTTTCCTTCCCCAAACAGAGCTCAGCTGTGCCTAGAGCTTGGGCCTCAACAGACCATCTCTCCATAGTGTGGTAAGCTAATGGAACGAAGGTTAATTGACTGACTCTACATCCCTCTGTTCTCTACTGTTTCCGCATTATACAATAATTTAACTTCAGCATAATATTATTCTGGTATCTCTTCTGACCACTTTTGTTCCCCTGGATACTTCCTTTCTAGATTTAATGTTACTTATTCTGTCTTCTAGGTGCAAAGAATTGATCCTGGCTACGATTAGAGCTTTTTTTGATCTCGTAGATGAAAACACAAGGCAGGTTTGTATATATGATCTCCTGTATGTTTTCTCATCATGCTTTCTTGTTCCATTCAGAGTGCTTAATCGGGGCAAGTATCACCCTATTACACAGAAAACTCCTTGATTGTTCTAAGTCATGCTGAGAAAATTGGTGCCATTTTGTACTGAAAAATGCCATGGCTTTGTGTTGTTTGACCAATGTGTCAGAAATAATTTGTGTTAAATCAATTGTTGACTGCGTGATGCTTAATAGCTGGGGTGTGGACTGAACTTTCCTTCCCTAATGCAGCAGGTTTAGTTGACCTTGCACCAGCATAAACAAATTTTGCTAGCTTTTAATGCAACCCCTCAATGTTTGTTCGAGTCACCTTCTCTGACTGGTATACAAAGAGTGAAAACCTGTGGTAGTTTAGCCCACTAACACTTCCCCACGCATTGTCATCATAGTGGCCAGCATATTTGTGGTGTTCTTCTGCAAAATGGCACTTACAAAAAGAGTATGCAAGTAAAATACTACCGTGTTTGTTTACCTCCAGCTATTGTTATTTACTGCTTTTCGAAATAAGTACCCTGCATCTTACGTTCTGAAAACTGCTGGAGAAATCTCCCATTGCAGTCTGTTCCCTTTCTGCAATGTTATGCAGCAATGAACATGAGCTGGAATTAAGGTCCAAGAGGTTGAAAATACCTAAGAGCAGAGCCTCAGACATGGAAGAGGAAGGCTCCCAGGTCATCTTTTTTGAGGCCGTTTGGGACAGACTTCTCTGGTTTCTTAGGTGTACTCACTTAAACATTCAATTGAGAGAGACAAAAGGGCGTACTGTTGTTCTGGTTAACAAGTGTAGCTTGTCTTCTAACAGTCTCCCCTGCCTCATCCCAAAAGTGTATTGCTAGCTATGCTCATGTGATGGTTATAAATCACACAAATTGGTAAAATAAAATTTGACCATGTGCTCTTTTTTTCTTAGATAACTGAGGATCCAGAGAAGAGAATGTCTGTACTGAATCACCACTTTGTGAGACACCCTGCAAAGATGTATGAGGAAAATCCCGAAGCTTTTACAGAACTCACAGGTGTGCAGGAGTGTTTTTGAACAGAATTCAGTGACAGTCCTTTATTAATAGTTGATCTCACTAACGAACTTCTGGAATACATTTTGTCTTTCTTCAGGCGTTGCTAAGATGTTACATAGCTAATAGACCTAACCTATCAGCTTTTGCGTGGTTTCAGCGTGAAACTGGTCAAAAGGGATAGGAGAAAAATCTGTCACACTTATATGGCTTAGATTCTCGGGGACAAGCAGGAGTCATATTTATACCAGGGTGTCCAGTAGACAATCTCAGAAATTGGGAATGGCTGGATGTCAGAAGTAGAGCCTAAGCTATGCTTACATCCGATGTGTGCAGAAGGGATCGTATGGGTGTTGTAGAGCCATTGTGTTAATCATGGAAATCCTGAATATTCAGATCTGCTTCACCAGTGACTTCCTTTTTTTCATGGCATGGCAGGGTAGAATGGACTGCACACTAATGGTTCCCTTGTAACTGCTAAGAATGCGTAGTTAAAGGTGAGAAGTTTCGACTGCATGGAGTCTTGGGAACTGAACAGAACTATTCAGGGCACAGCTGTGTTCCCAGTTTTACTGAAGTGGGCTGAAGCATTTTATGAAGACCATTTTATTTCAGGGATTTTCCTAATGTAAGCTATTGCAGAAGCTCTAAGGTAGCTTTAACTTCGGTGTCCAGTTCTGGCCACCCTGGTTTAAGAAGGCGTTTAGGCATTGACATGTCCTGAAGCGAGTACGGAGCAGAGGACCACCAAAATGGTTAGCTCCTGTGGCACAGGACATGGCAGGGAGAGGCTGAGAGAACTGGGTTTTCTCACTCTGAAGAGAATGCTAAGGGGGATGCTGTTGCTGTCTTCAACTACCTAATGAAAGACTGGAGAGAAGGTGAAGCTAGATCTTTCTCAGAGGTGCATACTCATAACACAAGAGGTAGCAGAGTCCAGTTACAACAAAAGAAATTCCAATTAGATGTTAGGAAGGAGTGCTTCACCAGGAGGGTGTCAGACACTGAAACAGGTGCCCAAAGAGGTGGTAGAACTGACTGCTTGCTTATTTACCCTTTTTTTGGATCAGCTTTTAGCAATAAGGAGGAATATGTTTCAATTGGATTTCATGTCTGCATCTTCTTCATTTCTATGATGTTGTTACTCCAGTTGCATAGATGAATCCTCCTTGCATGACAGTTTGCATTGTTTGTATCCCTGATCTCTTCATTAACCTGTATTATGTTCTCCAGATACATCTTTAAACTGCTACTGTTTTCTTGTACATGCTACCCACTTCATCGTTGACTTGCTTCTACACAGGTTGCTGTATAGTTTTTCTTATAATGCTAACAGGAACAAAGATTGGGGCTGTTTGTAATGCTGCCTCAGCTTTAATCAGTCACCCTGTAATTACATGAGTATCATTCAGTTTCTTACTTGTCTTATTGCCTTGAGAGCTATGTTTCAAGTTCCACAGGGTTTTTATTTTTCAATTAATATGTAGTAATTGGATCCTAGGGTCTTGCTGTTTCCTGTGTACCTGATGATAACTGTTGCATGTAATTCTAAGCAGTAGCAATCCTGAGCATTGATATAAAGTTTATGGCCATTTACAGATAGGAGAATGCAACCTCGGCCATAAGTAAAGATAAGATTTTGGAGATAAGGATTATAGTTCCTGCAGTGTGGCATTTAAAAACATTTATTTTTAGGATCTTTCATGTGGATTACAGTCAAAGCCTCAAAATGGACTTATTCAGCTTACAATGTAAGTAATGTTTTGTTCCCTCATTGTGTTTTCATGTTTGTTTTGTTTTACTAATGAGCAATTTTTTTTTTACTTTTAAGGATTCTGATGGAAAATATTTCACATTTCCTCTTGCAAGCCACAGAAAAACATACAGCCATGTTTACTGTGAAAACAATATGTTGGTGAGAAAATACTTTCATGTCTGGAGTTTGTTTATAAAGCTGTTATTTTAAATATAAATTTGATGCCATTTTAAGACAGTTTAATGAACAGTTGTTCAAATTGCTGACATCTTTTTACATTCACTGCTTAATATGTTGTGTTAGATTTACTTTCTGGTTTAGCCTGTCACACTTAGCGTTCAAGATCTGAGACCTTCAATGTCACCTGAAGCTCAGATGTTTTATTTTTCGACTCTTATGGTTAGCCCCAGGTTACTTTCTTCTTTAATTTAGTGCAGTTGTGTATCGATGGCTTTGAATGAAGAAGTTCATTTTAATGCTGTGAGGATTCAGCCATGCTTCTAATTTGCAAAAGCTGTTTATGTTTTCCTATAATAAATTTAAGTGAGCCTGCAATGCTGCAGAGGTCTTCCGCTAAGCAGTGCAGCGAATGGAAGCCAGATGAGAAAACAGCACCTTCTCAGCTGCTGCTTGTATTTTTAGCTCAAGACACATAAATTCAGCCAAAATGTTTTTGAAAGATTTAAAAATATTTTTTGAAAGAAATGAATATGATGTCTTGGCAAACTGGAGAGGGATAAATACGCTTTTCACAATCACATGAGTATTTTAGATGAGTGGCAAGAAAATTGAGATGCTTTCCTGTTCCATCCTGCCTATCCCTGTTGCTACTCCTGCCCTGGAGAAGAAAAGGTTCATACCATCATTGTGAAGAAAGATAGTATATTTTCAGTGCTTTTCGAATTGTCCTTCCCAGTAGCACCTTCAGTATTTATACATTTGTTGTGATCTTAGCTGTGCTTTAATTGGGTAAGTTTTGCCTTTGTATAATACCTGAAAGACAGGATTAGTCTGCTAGGAAGAGGAGGAGGTCAGAATTATGTCTGAGATACCATTGTGCTATTGCGTGGCAAGACTTAAATTCTCAAGGGTGGGAGCAAAATCTAAAGTATTCCTTGATTACCTAGGATATTACCTTGAGGCCTTTCTTTTAGGTAGAAAAGATTAAACTCTAATAAAATTGAATTTTACGTCATATGTAAGGCAGATATTTTCTTTAAGGGAAATGGTGAAAGTTTGTTTGCTTAACCTAATATTTGTTTTTAGAAAATGTATTGATTCATAACTAGAAAAGGTGGCAAATGGAAGTTATTTAAAATGGTTCCTAGAATCTCCCAGCCTTTCATTCGTATGCTTTGTCTTTCCATCCTTGCAACTCTAATTCCAAGATGATGATATCAGTGTTTTAATGGAGGATGTCACAGACACAGAAGTCTGACTTCATTGTGAAATGAAGAAAAAAACGGTGGTGGATATCTTTCACTAGAAATAATTGAGGAAAACCGAGAGACTTGTTATCACCAACTTTGCTTTTACACTGCAGCGTTTGACACCCTTATGAGAGTCTGGTCAGTGTGGTGACAGCTGCTGCAAACACACTTCATAGAAAAGGAATGAGATGGAGATGGAAGTTTGTTCCTCTCTTTAGTAAGTTAATTGCACCAAGGTTCTGCTATCAGAGGATTTTAGAACAGTTGCTGACATCTGATATATTGAAACAGTTATCATATAGAAATTTTGGAGAAGAATATCAGCATTAACTCCTGCATTGTTTGGAGTAAAGAATTGCTATTTTTAATATATTTATAAATATATTTAAAAGTCACGCATAGGTAATGTACTGCTTTATGTTACTGACTTTACAGGACACAAATAGCTGGATTTATGGCTGCATGGGAAGTAATTCATCAACATGGTGGGTATAAACAGTTCTTTTTCTTTATTAAATGGATCTTGTGAGCCTACATTTAAATCTAAAGCGTATATAATACCCTCCTTTGGAAGGAAGAGATTAGGGAGAAAAGTAAAAAGCACTGTAAATAATTCCTGCTCTCTGTATCACCAAGAAAACAGGAAGAAACAGGTTTTCTCAATTACTGCATGAGTGCAGATTAAAACAGGTGAACTTCTTCAGGCTGTATTTTTGACCTTCATAGCAGTGCAAAGTTGCTCCTGTTGCTCTCTTGTGGACGCTGCACACTGTGCTGGCTTCCGACACTGCGTGTTTTGTAGCATCTCTTTAGAGTCCTATGACAGAAGACATCACATGTCACTCAAGGCCTTCATCAAAGCCTTCGGAAGAGTGGACTGAGGCATCTTTTTTTGTTTTTTATTCAAAAATAGCTGTTGTCATAAGAGAAATATTTAGAAATGTGGGTCATTTAGTGATTATTTGAATCAGGTCATGACAGTCATTACAAAATGGATTTAAAACACTGGCTTAGCTTACATTTGCAAAATAAGCTCCAAGTAAATTCAATCTGCCCTTCAGATTAGGGAAAGCTTCCTGGAGAATTGAGCTAGCATAGTGTTTGTCTGTTCTGGGATCTGTGCTGAGGTGTGTAGCCAGAGAGTCTTGCCCCAGCTGATAGCCAGATGTCATCATTATTTTTTCTTGATCCAAGGAAAATGTGGCTATTACCCCTTTCTAGCATCTCTGATCAGCATCAAGTGCAGGTTAGCCAAATTCAGTACTGCTGCCTAAAACCTCATCTAATAATAGTGGGTTTGCTGTGGACTGTGTCCTGATGTCATGTAACAGTATTTGGAGAAACAGCAGTATCCTGGTGTTCTAAAAATCGGAACTTAAAATGACTGTATGTGTTGCAGTTCAGTGTGAAACTTCATGTAAGTGCACACTGTTTTAGACCTGTTGCAAGCTCAGCAGCAGCTAGCAAAATTTTTGTTTTATATGGTATATTTTGGATGTTCCCACTGGAACTTTTGATGTTTAGAAGATGCTAATAAAACTGTATGTTAATTCAATGGCAGTGCTGTTCTAGTTTATTAACAGTATTCATTCATTTGTGTCTGAAATTGCATGGCTAATAACTGCTGAGTGTTTTGTGTATGACAGAGTTAGAGCTTTGCTTAACTTGGTTTTGCAAACCCAAGATTTGCAGTAGAATTGATTCTGGTTTGACAAACTGCTGGGGTAGCTAACTGCAGTAGACCCAAACTTATTCACAGTTTAAAATCATGTGAATCCACATTGAGAGCAAGAAAAGCTGTTATGTTAATCCACTGTCCTAACATGGTGCCAGCATAATGAATATGCTCATCCTTGAATGTGCATGATTTTTTGCAGTCTGGAAGCTACTGATTTATCCTGGAAAGCCGAGTTACTTCCAACCACCAAGGTGGGCATTGTACACAACTGGTAGGAGGGAGAGGTGCTTTGCAGGGTAGTTGCATGCCATGGGAGAAGGATCTGTTCTCTTTAGTGTTGGAACCTGTAGTTGTGCTCCAGGGGAGGCAGTGCAAGGGGTAGACATCTGGTAACTGGCAAGGGGCAAGCTAAGGGGTATGTTCAGTAATGGCTTTTCCTTTTCATTCTTTCTTTCCCACCACCTTCCCCCCCCCTTTTTTTTTTTAAGGTTGTAATACTGAAACTTCAGGATTACCCTTGTTTGTCCCACATTGTCCTTCAGGTACCACCCACAGTTGGCAATAAGGTAAAAAAAAAGTGTGCTTAGTGTGTTAGTGGCTTTTAGATGCTGTGAGAGAAGGAAAACAAACTATATTCCATATGTGCTAAGTTACTTGGAGAAGCCATAGACCTACACTCCACTGTGGTTTGAAGGTAACACTGTTATCTTCTGTCAGCTCAAACATTTTCATTTGATAAAACAGTAAAGCAAGGCATGAATAGTACTTGGAACTGCTGGATCCTTCGGTTTGCTTTTGCATGATTAAACTTCAGGAGACAACCTAAGGGTTCTTTCCGCTCAGGAAATTATATCCAGAGTGTGGACAAGTCACTCTCCTTTGCAATGCACCCCTAAAAACAGGTGTACTTGTGGGAAGGAGGGATGTGAACTGGATTCTAGTCATTCTTAGCTGTTTGAATAGCCTTCTGGATGCTGTTGGAAATGGATGAGAGCTAGAGTAACCTGGGAGCCGTGCTTAAGCTACCCAAATTGTACAGCTGTGTACATGGACAGACTAACGGCCAGTCCCTGTCAGTGGAGTGTGGAGAGGTGGCTCGTCAGTATTTGTGTCCTGGAGTCTTGTGCTCAGTTTAGATCTGTACTTAATATCCTGAATTGCAGTATACTTTGGAGTGTGAATTCTTCAAAGAGGATTCCAGAACAGTACAGCTTCCTGTAACACATCTTTTTTCATTTGGTAAGTATAGCATATTACTTCTGGAAAAAAAAAAAAAAAGAGTAATGTTACTAACACTTAGAAAATAAATTTGCCTAAAAAATCCATTGGTCAGGAGGTTTTTTGGGGTTTATTTTTATTAAAGTGAATACCACTTTTGTTAGTAACAGACAAATAAGAAATATGGGGGTTTTGACTCACAGTTATAGAAGCACCTAAGTCTCCTGGAAAAAAATATCTGCATGATTTTTTTGATGCAGTGAGTTCAGAATTAATTTTGTCTAATAGGTGAAAATAATACATCATTTACAGGGCTTTCTTCAAGCAAAATGCTATTAAATTCAACTGGCTTACTTTACAATGTACAGCTCCAGCACTTTAACCAAGTAAGGATACTACTTAATTTTTTAAGCTAACGTAACCACTGTTTGGAGTATGTAAGTAATTTTTTCTTTTTTCTTTTCCATGTTCTAGATATATCAAGCTTTCAGAATTTATATAGAGAGCCGCTGCCAGTCACTCAAAGGTGAATCTAAGTCTTCTAAAGTATAAATTTGTAAGATCAAGCTTGTTGAAAACTCTCAAGACTGAAGGTGGTGGAAACAAAAGTCCTCTTATGCAATGGGGTTGAGGCACCACACTTAGAGTCTGCTTACATGTCTCTGCTAGTATCTCTCACTTTCCTCTTTTTAAGAAGGATAGCTCACAGAAAATGTGGAATTAGTCCTCACATGTATGTATTTCTTACTTCCCAGCAGAGGGAAGTTGAACTTTTGGCAGGATTCTCCATTATCTTGAAAGTGTTTCTCTAGAATAGCACAATTGGTTAGAATTTTAATTTGCTAACTATGGGACTCAAATTTGCATGTTGAGCTACATAAGCTTAAACAGAATAGGATGTTCAAGGACTTTGTTTCAAAAAAAAAAAAGTGAGGTATTTGTTAGCTTGAGGTTGTAGCTTGGTATTGAAAAGTTCTCATAACTGTCCTGTCTTTAAAGATTGTCTCATTGTCTTGTTGTGTAACAGCATGAGTTAAAAAATGTCAGTTTTGTTCAATGCTAGCTGCACTGATCTGCACTGCAACCTGAATTGCAATGTAACTGCAAGCCTGGGGATTCTGTATAGTGATCTATATGCTACCTTTGTTTTCCTCGCCTTTTAGTTTTTGGAGACAGTTGCCACATCTTACTCTCAATTAATTTTGTATTTTTTAATCCTCTTCCATTTCAGAAAGAAAACCTAGTGTTTACAGACTGCATATACCCTGGTCACATGAAGACTCCATAATTGTAGCAAAGTAAGGACTCGAACAATTTTAACTTTTTGATATGTTTTGAAGAATATTTGCATCCTCTTGTGGCAATATTTCTGATATGAGACAACTTCTCCAGTCTTTAGTGTTTGGCTTCTGCATTTTTTCCTCACTGACCATTCTGCCATTGTTGACAAAGTTGTTTTGACTTTTCCTCAGAATAAGAACATCTACTAATTGTTTGGTTAATACTTCTCGCTAATTTTCTCCAAAAGGAAGCCAGATTTGCTGTCTGAAATTCTCAGCAAATCCTTTGACCCCCTCACGAGTGGGGAATTGAGGCTGCTCTGGATGCTGCCTTCTTCCCGTAACCCCAGGGTTTGGATCACACAGCAGCACTAAGTTGCTTCAGCAGCATCGTCCTGACAAAACCAAATGAGTTGAACAGCATGATGTTATTTTAGGTGATTGGAATACTGTCTTCCTTGTGTATTTTAGAGGTCTTAGGGATACATCCCTGTTTCATTCCCCTGTATTTTTTAACAACGTAATACTTGCAGGAAACTGAATTGTTTTTTTGAGATTCTGTCCTTCCTGTTCTTGTCACTCAGAACATTTACATGTTCTGTGAGGCATGTGTACACGAAGGCTAAATGTGTCTGGTTTTATTGGTGCTGTGCCCTTTGATAGTTTAGAGGACAGTGGATTGAGAACGGTACGCGGTGCTTTGCGGCAGGATAAACAAGTTCATTGTACCACTTTGCTCATAGCTTGCAGTGGCATTTGGTGACGTAGATCCGCTTTACGTGTGCTTGTTGAATACTATGGCATGTTTGGCTTTTTTTGACTATAAGGAAGACAATTACCAATTAAGTTGATGTTTCAGAGTTCCGTCTTCTACTGAGATTTCTGCAAAACTGCATGTTGCTCCACCTCAGAATGACAGCAGAGTTCCAGAGTTAAACATTTTTTCTTCCTCCTCAGACTGTCAGTATGAAGTGAGTAACAAATATATTTTATAGCTAGTTTGCATTGCTGTGTACATTTTGCATAATTCAGTCTTTTTAAACATCTGGTTAATTAATCAAAATAAATACTAACCAAAACTAAAGGCACGCTTTTTGGCTTTTTTGTAAATGTGCATGTTACAAGTATTTTGCAACAGCTGGAGTAATATTGAAAGTTGGTCTCTCATTTCTAAGAAAAACAGTAAAGCATTTGTTTTTAGAAAGTCAATAGTTGGCTACTGTACATTTTAGTTATGGAATTGCTGTATTCCAATACTTAATTTGGCTTTTTAAAAATAACAGTATTCTGTATTTAAGCTTACCATTGTATAAGATAATGAAATATGTCTTTTTTTTTTTTTTTTTCAAGGTAATTCTGAAGACATCACTTTTACAGGTTCTCGGGCAAGTAAGAAAACCTTCTAGCACTAGATTGTCTTTTGTCAGTAGCAATTATAGAAGTTTTCCCTTCCTCCCTTCCCTTCTATGGCTTTTCAACTTCCTATCTGACGCCAAGTTGAACACTACTGAGTGATCATTTAAAACCTTGTCACTTGGCCAGGCATCCCATCCAGGTAAATGTCAGGCCTCAGAGGAGTAGAAAAGCACTCTAGCTCTAAAGAGCTAATGTAAATGTTAAGCATTTGGCTTTGTGGTTAGCCGAATAACTGTGTCTGGATGACACTGTAGGTCACTTCACTTTCTTGCCTTATGAGTCTGTAGTGGTAAAACTTTAAAGTACATTTGACATCAACTAAAATTTGTGGAGGGGGAAAGTCTAGGCAGATATGTATGCTCCTTTTAAAAAAAATTGCTTTGGTTATCAATGAAGAATACATGTCGACATTGGTATCAGTAAAACAGACTACTCATCTGCAGCTTTCTGATTCTAAAAAGTAATCAATTTGCAAACACCTAAGTGTAGTGCTAGAATATTACTGGCAAGTTTATCTATGTAAAGGTTTGCATTTATAACAAGGATTTTTTTATTTTGTTATTATTTTAAAGGAAGTTATGTACTGTTTGTTTTTAATCATGACTTGGGACAGTGGAAGCCAATTAAAGAATGCCTGAAATAACATCCAAAAAATCTTTGCCCAAAGGCACATATATGCGGGTTTTGCTTGGAAAGCGGCCTTTTAATTTATTTTACTGAAACACAAGTAATGTGGTACTGTATTCTTTTAATATTTGTCTTAACTGGAAAAAAGCATTCATTGATAATTTGGTCATTTATCAAAACACATGGGATTAACTGTTTATCAGAGATCCGAGTATTTTGCATATATAACCGTAATTACAAAACTTGGAGTTTTTTAAGAAGGATTTTCTAATCATATTATCGTGTTGACTTGATGATAATGTTTTTGTGTGTGTATTTTTTTAATACATTTTTATATACACAAAAATTATCCTTCTATCCTTGTCTTTCAGATAATAAGGTTCCATGCTGGTGCTCTTCCTGTTTACATTGTTTGCAATATTCTTCTTGCTTACGGAGGACAGTTGAGCACATTGATATCAACAGGTAGCTTTCCAGTTATTTTTTTGTCAGAAGCATTTTTAGTGAAATTACTTTTCCAATTTACTGTTGAAAGACTAGCTAGCTAGTGAGATTTTTTTTTTTTTTGAGCGTCATTGAACTTCTGCAAGTACTGGGTTCTGTGCTCTTTGGTTTTGGGTTGTGTTTATTGGTACTTCTCCATGGTTGTGTTGCAGCAGAATATTTCCTTACTACTTTACTCTGCAGTCCCTTCATGGCAAGCGATTGGTGTTTCACAGTATTTTAGATTTAATAGAAGTCTACTTAAAAATACATGTAAAAGTTTTTAAAATACCTTGTTTCATATGCACAAAACACTTCATTTCCTGAGTGGAGATTTGCAGAGTAACTTTTAGACATGGGTTCAGACAAAATGCCTTTTTATTTAAATCCAGGCAGTGTTTGCAACAAACTCTTGTGACACACTGCATACTATGAGTGAACCCGTGAATAAGGGCCTTGATGAAGTGTGCCGACTTGCAGGACTGCTATAAGACCTGGTTATCTTGTTTTAAAGTAAATGTTCAACCTCTTGTCTGAATTGACTTTTCACTGTGGATCTTCTTTGTTCATGACCAAATAATAACTCTAAATGCTTTCTGTTCTTGATTCTAGGACAGTGTTCAGACTTTTCCCTTGAACTAGTTAGGACAGCTAAACCCTACAAAGTAGAGCCTCTTATAAGCATTGTTGTGGTTCTGCAGGGGCTAGTGAGATTTATTTATTTATTTATTTATTTATTTAAAGCCATTTCCAAACCAGAAATTTGAGTAGAACTATTGATAGGGAAGAGTATTTTATCTGTAGTGATATTGGACCCCTGACTGATTTTGTTTGAAAAGCTGTAGTAGGAGGAATAGTTGATGGATATCTTACTGTAATGGCCATTGGAAGTGATAAGTAATACTGCTTTCATGTTTTTGGCAGGTTTCACTGGTTTAGAGAGATATGGGAATCGCTGTCACTACCAGAGGTGGACACTGCTGTATTGAGTAGTCAGGATGTATGGTTCCCCCTTGTGTCCCTGATTCTATTCCTTTTTGGGACAGGCATAGCCTACTGGAGTGGAGTATTTTTCTCTACATCTCTGAGACTCTTCTCTTCATTATGGTTAACTCTGATTAGGTAAAACAACATTATGCTATATAATTGTGCTCTTTTAGATGCCTGTGACCCTGTTGGTTTTTTTCTCCTTCAATGTGAATGCTTGGGCAGATTGAATTCTGTGCTATAGATCATACATGATTTTAGACATCTGGTCAGTGTTAATACTAGTAAAGTATGAGGATTGCCTCATATTCCTTATTCCACTTGTCCAAAAGGGAACATAAATGGCTTTCTTGTTTCCTTCACTTGCTGTTATAAAGGTATTCAGTTTGCTTTGGAGGAAAGCTTGTTGGGGAAAAGAAAGCAACTGAACTCTTCCTTTTTAGCAGTACAAAAACTAAATACATATATTTAGAAAAGGGAATATAAGCATTGCAATCCATTCCTCATTATTCATATTGGATAAACTGCAATGAAGTATACAAACAGGTTTGTAAAACAAAAACTTCTTAGATATTCATTTCACTCTACAAGACTGATGAGTTTTATAGATCATGTCTAAGGACACGGGAATGTTTTTCCTTGTACAGATGAGTATTCGGATATGAAAGTGGGTTTAAAAAAAGCAAGGAAGATAAAAAGATTTTGGAAGAGCAAATTACTGAACTGGATAACATGCCTGGCTATTTTAATGGTTTGACTGTTCTGACATGGCTAACAGTCCTCAGCTCTCTGTCTCCAGAAGGTTGGTTGGGATGCTCTGTACTCTGAAAATACCTTCTAAGCGAATTCTTTTTTTTCATCACTAGCATTTCTGGTCTTATTCTATCAAATAATAGATGGCTATTTCTTCTCAGCCATCTTAGTTATAAATTACAGTGAGTACTTTAGTGTTAGCTTTAAGTGACAAAGTGATTAACTTCTAAGTTTTGAAACTACCCTTACTAAATTTTCAGGGGTTTTAGCTCAATTCGTACTCTTTTCATTAAATCTTTAGATATCCTGCAAGCCCTGACAGCTTCTTGGGCAGAGGTGGGAAAATAAGATTTTTGTGTGCCTACCAGTTGGCAGTTAAAAATGAACCTACTGGTTCATTTAGAAATTCTAATGCCTTACACAGTTTTTGATCTACTTCTGAATTTCTTGGGGAAAATAACCCATTTCTTTCCTATGATTGTCGCTAAAGTAGATCATATTCGGTTTACTTTTGGTCAGTGTTCTGAAATGATCTGATGTGGCTAGCAGCAAAGAATTTGTCACTAGCTCAAAGAATTTGTCACACCTTCTTAGCTCATCTTCATCTTTTCAGATTCATACGTGTCTCTCAGTTGTATCAGCTGGAATCCAGAAACTTAAAATAAGCTTCTCTGTGTGTCTTGGACTGTGAGCAAGCAGAAACTCCTGTTTGGGAGGAATGTTTGTTGCAGAATTCGTGTGTTGGAGACTTACTGTTGTATAGTGCTGCACTATCGTTGAACACTGCAGTGCATTAACATTTGTGGGAGGAGTCCCTCCCATGATGCAGCTGGGCACTAATAAGACAATTGTTCTCTTGGGCTGAACAGAACAACTTGGTGACTGATGCAGATCTACAGTTCGCATTATCTAATGTTTTATATTCACCAGTGTATCCTTTATGTTCCACAAATTAAGTAAAAATAATACCCTAGTTACAGGCTTACAGTCTAGAAAGTCTAAGATTGTTCTGTTCATTTGGTAAGAAAAGTTTTCTTGCAAAGCAGCTTATGTAGCAGCTGGTATGTATGTTAAAATTTGTGTAACTTTATTTTTCCAGTGGTTAATCAACATTCAGGAACGATTTATTCTTGTCAGTCATTCACAAAACAGAATTATTCCTTGATCTTTGCAGGTCTGCTGTTAAAAAAGTGTAACTGGTTTTGTTTCTTTTTTTAGACCTCCTGTACTTCAGAAAGATAAGTTGATCACACCTAGAAGACTCTGCGGGGTGTTATCCTTAGCTTTGGTTAGCTGGACCACTTGTGGTGCATTTGCTGTATTCATTATTTACCTTCAATACTTGTTTAAGGTATGAGAGGCTAAACATTTTGACTTTATAACTGAATTCCAAATTTCTTATGCTTTGAAGTACCCCCATGTGAAAAGCAAAAATACATACTACCGTTTTTCATATTTAAAAGAAATGTTGTTATTTGCATAATTGAAATGGGTCTTTTTTGAACTTTTCATACTCTCACAATCTTGTCATTTTTGGAATTATTTTTCTTTTGATGACGCTTCTTCCAAAGGAATGTCCGTATGCCCACTACAGTAATGCACATAACTGCCTTTTTAACTTATGGATAGGTAATGTTGGAAAATCAAAGATGACTAACTCCCCTGAAGAGGAGCTTTATCCAAGGGAGGGCTTGGAATGTTCTGTGGAACAATTTCTATCTTGAAAGATTTGTGAAAAGCCTTTGTAGAGTAAAAGGAAGGAGGCTGGGCATATTGTAGAATTAGGATACTCTTATTGTGTGTCTAATCTGATCCCTTGGGTAGTGCCACAAAGATCCATATTTAGTCCCTGTCATTCCCTTTCCATGGTCTTCCTTGTATCAGAGCATCTAACCGACCTGATTCACCCTATGGTTATGTAGCTGCTAAATGAGCTGCTGTACTTAGCTGTTGGGGAAGCATTGGAGCGTGCGTCTGGGAGTAGGGGCACAACGCAGAGCTGCTTACAGGTGATCTGGTGCAGGCGGGCGGCAGCTGGAAGCACAGCCTGAGGAACAGTGCTACCTCTAACTGAACTCCCTCTGACACAAGGTTACCTGGTGAGGGACGTTCCCATGCTGACATTACTCCCCCTTCTGCAGTAAGTCTCTGACACGGGACTACTATGTGCTCTGCTTAGAGGTTTTGGCAGAACCAGAAGTAGAACGGAATTAGCAGGGGGAGGTGAGGAATACACAGATTTTCCACTCTGTGTTCTCTGTTGAGCGCAGTGGAAGGAGAGAAAGCAAAGCAGCCTAAGTTTTTCCCTCTCTGCTTGGAAATCCCTCCATAAGAGAGCACTTTGGATGCTGGTCATAAAAAAAGGCAGAGAGAGTTCTTGCTTTGTAGCTCCACTGGGCCCTAGAATCATCTAGCTCTAATAGGGACAAAAAGTAATTGGCCCCAGGGTTGGTTTTTTTTTTTTCTTCTATACTACAGGTTTTTTTGTGAAGAAACATTACTAAAAAAGCTGAACTATTTGCCTTACAGGTTATAAAACTGCATGTGAATGTAAGAGCAGAACAAAACATGCTCAATGGGGTAAGTCTGTTTCTTGCTGCGTTCAAAACCATGACCAAAACTTGTTTGGCAAACCTATGCATTATGAATTGGTAGCACCTTGCCTTGGTAGTATTAGGGTGTGCTGTGATGACCGGATGGCCGTAGTTGACTTACTGTGTGCATGACGTGAAAGAAAAGCCAGGACGAGTAGCCTATTCCATCTCATGCGACTATTGCATTCACTGTTCAAGTTCACTGCAGTGTGAGCTTGTGTGAAGTACATTTAAGAAGAAAATATAATCTCTGAATACATACAGAACAATAGTTTCTGTCTAAAAATTTGTCTGAAATTTGGTATTTTATTATTCATGCCTTATCTAAAAGAATAAAATTAATTTCTAAATCATAGTCTATACTACAGGTAAATATTTTTTTCCAGATAGGTAGTTTGTGGCACTTGGGGGTTTTTTAATCCAGAGATGACAAATACTGTTTATTAGATGGATATGAACTGAGACTGTAGTAGATTGGGAGCTGTTTAAGATGGAGTGAAGAAGCATTGGGTTTTGTACATTGTGAACTTTGATTCTGTTTTCAGTTACTTTAAGGTATAGGAATGAGGAGATAAGCAGGTGTGGATACAACCATGTAATAACTACCTGTTCTGGTTTGCAAACATAGAACATAGTTTCAAAAAGTAGTGTGACAGAAAAAGTTGACAGTTTCATCTGGGTATCTTGGAGTGTTTTTTGCATGTTTCGTTTTAAATCCTTTCCTCCTCTGGTTTCATACCCATAAATTTTTTTTGTTTCATTTGTGTTTTTTTTTTCTGTCATGGGAAGTTACCATCTACCAACTCTTTATTTGATCTTTCTTATTTATTCGTACAGCTAATATTTTACTCCCAGTTGCATTACCTCCTGTATCCTTTTCCATGAATGATCATCTGTGATTTTCACCCGAATACTTTATTGCTCCCTTTATTCTGTTCTTCCTGCTTCCAGGAACTCCATTTCTTATCACAGCACTAGTGTCAGGGCATCTCCACTCTCCATTCTTTCCTTCCAAAGACATATAAATTATTAGTGTAGGAGAAATTTCTGGTTAAATCTAGATGCTTTAAAATTGAACTATTGAACTTTGCTTTTGATGTCTTTTTGAGGAATAAATTGCAAATTTTCTTCTTAAATCAGAGCTGGCATGGTACTGTGATGATAGGTTTTCCTTCTTCCTCCCTGAGCATGGGTTCTCACAAGCCTGTGCATGCTTTTGACTTCTTTCTATTATTTTCAGGATTCAGACCACTCAAAAGAAACTTCACAGGACTCCAGTACACACACTGTCAGAAACCAGAGTCCACGGGACAGTAGTTCCAAAGCAACACAGTCTCTTTTCCTCAGTACAACAGTTGCTGAGGCTGTTAACTCTCTGAAGATTCACGTTACGATTCTCCATTTATTCACGTGGATTGTGCTGCTCAACTTGCCATCTTTAATTTATTGGTTAAAAAATCTCAGGTAACGTCTTAGATTGCCAGTAAGGTGGAAGAATATGATCCTTTGAAGATAATGAAAATTGCAAGTGTTTGACTCTTTATTAGCTACCTTACAGTATCAAAGACTTCTGCCTTCTGTGCAATCTGGTTTATGTTATGGTACAAGTAGCTGTTAAGTGAATCAGTGATATGTTGAAGAAAGAAATTATTTGGAAAGGATTTAAAATCAGGCTGTGATTCCACATATATTTCACCTATTTTTGGTCCCAACTTGGATTTTAGTTTCGAAGTAACATGCTTTGTAACCCATGTCTTTGCAGGTACAATGTTAGACTTGATCCTGATCCATGTAGATCCACAGCTATTATCATCTCATGCATTTTAGAAATTCTCATCAATTCAAGTACTTCAGAAGTAAAATCCAGGTACTGTAGTCTAATCTTCACTTTTTGTTTTCCTGCTTCTGTCTTAGTACTTCCATTTGTGTGATAAAAAAATTACGCTTCACAGACATGTAATTGTTCAGTCTATGTACAGATTCATGAACTCCTATGGTAAAGTAGTAAAGACTAGATGAAAAGCATACAAATTACCTGCAGTTCATTTAAGAAGAGAAAATCACCTGTATTTACCTGTATTTATTATGGACTTAAATGGAGTATTTGCAGTCTAAATAATTGGCTACATAAAGACTTCTTTCTCTGTGTCTTTTTCATTCATAGCTCACTGAATCCTTCCAAGTGTTACAGAATCCTAATAGACTTAGCAATTATTTTCAGAAAGTTTCAAGGAAAAGTGAATTCTAAACCGTTGTGGGTATGTTCTGCCCCTTATGGAACACTTTTGGAAATGTAACATGCTTTCTACTGGATTAGGAAGTGTTGAGCCCTCGGTTTTGCTGACAGCCCTTGGCAGAGCATTCCTTGTTCAGATATAGAATTAGTCAGGGCTTCATGAAGGACCATGAATAATATCCAGTGTGGATTATCCTCTTGGCCAGTAGCTCTTAACTCAAATAATGTAAAACTGTAGATCTTTCTTTGTTACAGGAGCTTATTTCTAAATTAATATAAGAACATTTAAAATAACATTTTATTAGCCTTTTTGAATAATTGCTCTTGCTTATGCATTGATTATTATTGCTCGTTAGACCATTTTTAAAATTAATAAAGCCTTGAAATCTGTAATACTTTTTAAGAAGTGAAATATGGTATTTGCATACCTTCTGCATGTATGGCTACAACAATGGCTTTTTTTTTTCCTTATGTTCTTACAGTAAACTCTTGAAGATCACAGCCAAAGTTCCACTCCCTTTGTCTGTTGCAATGTTGGCCTTTGGACGAATGCATTTGTACAAAATACCACACTTTGTAACCTTTTCTCTTTTCCTACATGTGCTGTGTTGTATTGTGTAACCTTCGTTATACGTAGGAAGAACAGTGCAGCCTAGAAACTCAGCACTGGAGATGGGCACACTTCAACAACAAAATGCCTAGATCGTCACCAGTAGTTTACGTGGGAAAGAGGACAGAACCCTGAATACTTTATGAAAAGTTCACGGTTCTGTCTTGCTTAGAAAGCTTTTAATGCTGTTTATCTCCTGACTGAAAATTAAGTGAATTAACTGTGTGTAAGCACATAAATCATATCAGTGCAACATCTCAGTACTCTGTTTGCCTTGTAGACACTTTGATATTTCATTATACTTCTTTGTGGAAGCAGACCTTTTTTACTCACGATGTCATACAGCACATATGTTCTGAACTTGTATCTCTGGCAGGTCTAAATTATGCTGGTTAAAACTCAATACATTTCAAGCACACTGTGACTGTCACAAAACCTACACAGCCAAGTATACTTTTAATCATTTTAAGCTACATTTAAAAGCTGCCACAGTTGTGTCTAGACTAACTAGAATGTACTGCTTATATAGAAGCGTTTTTTCTATCCAATCATTTGTTCAGTCAGTGTGAGTTGAACATTTGTGAGATGACTGAAAGTCTTATGCGTTTTACTTTTTGTGAGAGTGAGAAAACAACAATATTCTGTGTAGCTTTCTATTCAGGAAGGATACCAGCAGATTCATAAACAATTTGCTGTAATGTTGTTTTAAAACATTGTCAGTTTCCTCTGGAATTTTGTCAATTCTGAAATTACTCCTTGGACCTTGTCCCTGTGTAGAAGCTAGCAAACGTTGAGGTGCAGTGTGAGTTTACAGTGCAGTTGCTGTACCACACACTTTCCAAGTAGACAAGGCAGGGTTTTGTCTATCGTAAATGGAGAATCGACTATCTCATAATAAATGCCACATGTGACATTAATGTGGAATAGTCACAACACTGTAAATTCAAGCCCTGCCATACAGTGCTAACTTCCTCACATGGAGAAAGTCTTAGTAATAGTGGGAAACACTGACCATAATTATTAGCTCTGTATAAAGTATTATCTTAGTGCCTAGATGCTACAGTGACTGCCATTTATAATAAAGCATAGAATAGCTATGTGTAAGGAATTCTGTCCCCTGGGTATGCGTCTGCTGACAGAAGAAATGTAGTAGCCATTAGGTTAAAATGATGTCTTGAGACTGTGTAGAGATGAGCTTACTGCTTGCTTCGTGTGTTAGCTGTCTCCACTCTGTCCGAGATAGCAGTTATCTTCATATGGAAATACTAGAGCAGCTCAATCATCTTATATCAATAATAAGAGGAAATCTGCCACCCACAGTCCATCAGGCATATTCTTGATGCAGTAGTACAGCCAGCCTGACCCACTGATTTTATTCTATCTCATCAATCTTCCCTCAAGTGCCTCAGTTAGTTCTAGCATGCTGTTAGGGTCGATTCATTTGGGCTGGCTGGAAAGACTTAATTCACACAGTGACTTTCTGAAATGAAGGACAAATGTGAAGTAAGCACCTGTTTTGTCCGCTTACATACAAGTTAAAGCTATCAGTAAGTCATTAGAACTGCTTTAACTAAGATTATTGTAGTTAACCAAACTACTGTCACTGATATCAGTAATCCATGTGTTGGTATTCTAGTCTTAACCATTTTTTAAAAATATTAGGTTATACATAGTGTTTGTGAATCAGAAGTTATTTGAATAAGTCATGTCTTGAAGCTCTCTAACCAAATGTATGCTATGGGGTGTGTGTGTATATATATGTACATAAAATATAATTTGTGTGTCTAAACATACTTGTAGCTAAATCCACCAGTTGGTTTAACTGAAAAATTACTGTTTGGACATAGAAGAACAGAGTATTTTTTTTCTACTTTCAAATGGCTGTGAATGAAAGACAGTGGCAGAACTGCATTGGGCTGGTAAAATGCCGTCTGTGAAGTGCGCAGGATCTCTGGTTTCTGTGGAAGATCATTTTCCTTGGCCTTCATGGTCCTTTTCATTTACTACTGTATTTTACTTCTGATTTTGTTTTCATAGAATCACAGAACAGTTGGAAGGGACCTTAAAGACCATCCAGTTCCAACCCCCCTGCTATGGGCAGGGACACCTTCCACTAGAGCAGGTTGCTCAAAGCCTCATCCAGCCTGGCCTTGAACACTTCCAGGGATGGGGCATCCACAGCTTCTCTGGGCAACATGTTCCAGTCCCTCACCACCCTCTCTGGGAAGAACTTCCTGATATCTAGTCTAAATCTCCCCACCTTCAATTTAAACCCATTACCACTTGTCCTGTCGCTACAGGCCCTTGTAAAAAGTCCCCCCCAGCTTCCTTGTAGCCCCTTCAGGCACTGGAAGGCTGCAGTAAGAACTCCTCGGAGCCTTCTCTTCTCCAGGCTGAACAAGCCCAGCTCTCTCAGCCTTTCCTCATAGAAGGGGTGCTCCAGCTCTCATTTGCTACATTTTAAAACAAACACATGAATAACACAACAAAATCCTAAACAGTGTAGGATTACTATATTGCAGAAGACCTACAGACTGCCTGGATGTCTAAGTGAACTTTATAACTTAGCTGGGCTACTTTTAAAGTTAGTGGTTAAAAAAAAAAAAAAAAAGTGTTGATACTTTAAAAACCCCAAAAGGCATAGTTGCATACATTGGTATTTGATACAAAGTCTGATTTTCCATGTGTTTGCCAGTAACAAGGTTATGAACTTATAACCTGACTTTTTTTCTGAAATCGGATGCATATGCTTCTAAACTTTGACAGGGCAGAACTAAGTCCATGGTGTGCTTGTGAATAAATGTAAACATTGTGTAGGTTTCATTTGATTGAGTTTATTTCAGTACAGTGATGAATGTGTTGAGGCTTTTTTCTTACTTAAACTGAGAAAAACCAGCCATTTATTATAGACCTTCAGTACTCTGAGTTACTGAAAATGTGTTTGGAAGCAGTTACAGTCTCTGTGCAATAATGGTGTTGCTGGTTTAAGTCACTAAGCTACTAGAAATTCGTTAGCTGTAAAACAGACTAAATTCTTAATGCTTATTTTTCACTTCATAGTGAATGTTAGTCACTTAATTTACAGCTTTGACTTTTTTCATCTCTCTCTTCTGGGAGATAATCAAGCTAGCTTTTATAAGCACTTAGCACTGTACTGCAAATGGGTTTTAAAACTCGCATCACCGTTCCTTTAGGGGAGACGTACTTCTGTCATGAAAGCTACGTGCTGCGCTCATACCTCTGGAAATGTGTGTCAATGAATGACAAATTAAAACTATTCCATTTTAATGTTGAAGTAGAATAGTTTTTTTCAGAGCCAGAACTTTAGGCTGCTGTTCATCATAGAATCCTTAAAATCTCTAAACGTTTATTTGCAAACCTTTTTACAAATACTGTATTTTCTGATGTATGTTCTTATTTATGGAAGAATATTCAGAGTTTTTAATTGGCTTCTTAAAGCTTAAATAAAATCTGTGAATTTCATCATGTTGATAAACATTACGGCTTTTTAAAAATTAGTTTTAAGTGTTTAAGGAGAAAATTATATAGCTCTTACTTAAGCACATCTACCTAGCACCTCAATTTTTCAGGTATCTAAGCACATAACTGCCTCAAATATGTGCTTATTGCCTTGCAGCAAGGAAACCCAAGTCAAAGCTGTGATGTTTTGACTTTAGTTTCACTTAAAATGTAGGGTCTTACTCTGCCTTCTTAAATGCAGGCAGATTTTGCTACTTGTCCTGTCATAAACAAATCTTGTAAGCATGGCCTCTCTGCAGTTATTGGCAGGTTGTGTTCTAGATTCTGTAGGAGGTGTGTGGTATCGGAGCTAATTTTGTGTCCATAAAAGTCAGGAATGGCACACACAAACTTATTATTTTGTGGCACATCGTTCCTGTTCCTTCTTCCGTATGCAGTTATCTTCTGCTTTGCAGCATCCTTCTGCTGTAGCACAAAACATCCCCTGTAATAATAGTAGGCGCCGTTGACTGACCTAGTGAAGATGCGCAGCAGCTGGTCTGTTCAAGTTTCATATGCTTGATGAAATACCAGCAAAGACATTTTTTTCCCGTCCAAACTAAATAATTTCAGGGTATATGTATTAAGTATCAAATGTGCAAGTGTAGTGATGTTTAGTTTTGTAAAACGCTGAGTGCATGATTTTGGGATCGATTCAGGTTTCAGTATTTTCCACTTAGGTCACTCTGAGTGTCAAAACTGTATTTGAGACTGCAGCACCTGACAACTGAAATGTTATACAGAAATCTACAAGTAGTAGACATGACATATATAATTAGAGTGCCAGACCAAAATTGAAATGTGAAATTCCTCACTGTGACGTTAAACTTGTAGCTTTCTAGAGCAAAAAATAATTACTGTGCCTTAAACCGGTAAATGAATACGCTCTTCAACTGTAGCCTATGGACTTCTGTAGCCTTATATTTGATTTCTGAAGTTGTCCAAAAACATTTGCGTGGATCATACTGAAACTGCATTTGGGGAAAATATTTCTAAAAAATTTTTCTACCCCCTTTTACTACGCTTGCAGAAATGAAGATTAATGACGAGTACAATGTATTTGTGGTTTGGAATCACACCAAATGAAGTCAAAAAGCTTTAGCTGACCTTAATTTCTGAAGTCTTTCTGTTGTGACAAGAAAAATAAGGAAAGAAAGCTAGTCTCAGATAAATGTGTGAACTTTGAGTCTCTGTCCAATTCCTTTGTAAAATGCTGTTCTTCAGTTTCCTCAAAATAATAAAAATCCTCTAATTGTAGTTTAAGCGAAATACTGTATTTAGGTATTGATACTCAGTAGCTTATGCCAGTGTGAGAAGAAAACTAGGAGGTGGTGGGGTGGGGGTTTTTGTTTGTTTTAAAGCTCCAGAAGCTTTAAATAATTTCCCTTTTTTGGAAAAATACTCATATATAAAAATGTGAAAGGTTTTTTGGTGGATGGGAAGGTTTATACTTTTTTTTTTTTCCCCCCTCAGTTCATTAAAGAAATCCAGAAATAGTCAAGATCTTAGAATCTTGTTTTGCTATAGTAGGAGGAATTCTTAGTTATATTTTTTTAATATGAAGAGCTCAGGAAGAGCTGCCACTGGCTTTCCTTATGTGTCTCTCCAGGTTTCTTTGTATGTTTTGATCAAAACCCTTCAAATTCTGACTTGGTTTACCCCCCAGTATTAGTACTGTGTAGCACTAAATCTCAAATAAACATTCCATCTCAAAGCTTATCATTGGCCTGTGGGAATTTAAATATGCATACAAACTGCATGCCAGCTGAGCACAGCAATTGTTTGAAGCAATACAAATCAAAACTATTGACCTTCTTTTATTGAGAACTAACTCGAACCTGGCTGCCACAATGCTGCTGATGCTGTGGCACAAGAGATACCATGCAATCTTTGTGTCTTCCCTGCTACTTCCTTCTGTATGTCAGTTTAGGATGTGTAACACTCATTCTGGTCACCTAACTTTCTCTTCTTTCTGCTGTGATGATGCTGTTTGAATAATCACTGTTGATTTCCTAGCTACAGGGATATTCTAGTATTAAAATCATTTGGAGGGCAGAACTACCTTTAAGGCCTTTATATATGATGATTAGTCTAGAAAAACTCTGAGACCTAGGCCTAGTGACTTGATTCCCTATTACCTTTTAATTGTTTTTTCCTAGAACAAAGAATAATGGTGGCCAAAAACCTCTTTGGGGTAAATGTGGGGGAGGGGGGGCTGTTTGGTTGGTTTTAAGAGGAGTTAAAACTTTGAAGAACACAAATGTAATTTTGGAAATACCTTTTGCTTCACAAGCAACCTGTCTTCCATGTTTTTAACTCTTCCTCTCTTTTCAATTCTCTTACAGCCAGTGTAAATCTGGTGGTTTAGGTGGAGCTAACTCTTAGTAGTTACAGGTTTCTAGAGATGTTGACAGGGTCTTATCTATAAATCTTTGAATAATGCTTTAAGAAATTATTGTGCTTATTAAAATGTTTGAATTCTCAGATACCGTTCGTACAATGCGTGCTAAGCTTTGGCAAAGTCTTTCTCTTGTGAGATGCTGAGAAAACCTTGGAGAATAGATATCATCAGCTAATGCTGAAGTTGCTGAAAGCTGAAATCTCAATCTTTAAAAACTGTGCTTTTATCTTGTTTGATGGTTTCCCTGTCTGCAGTGTATACTTCACTTTCCTTGGTCTTTTTTTGTTAACCTAAGTGTGCATGACTTAGAGTGAGCTGTATAGCATATGCTCTGCTAAATAAACACTTCTGTATATTTTTGTATGGTGTTCTGACATGGTTGCATTAGTACAAATGGTTGTAATTCACAAAAAAGTGCCACTTAACCAGTCATACTCTGTAGAGTCTTGTGAATGTTACCTGTACTTCCGTTGTACACACACACACTAACGAGTGTCGTGATGAATGTTTGCCTTTAGTCTTTGCTCAGGTACTCATGTGGAGCAGTTTGGTGCTTTTCCTTCTAACTTGTAATACTTGGGATTCTAAGCAGAAAATAAAACCTGTGAACCAAAGCATTGTGGTTAGAGCAGTACTTTAACAGACGCTTTTTTCACATCTCGAGTAGAATACAGTAAAGATCGTACCCGATGAAGCTTCTCTCAATATCTTAACTCATGCACCGTAGGCTGTTGTACCTGCCTTTGTGTCATGAATGGGAAATGCAATAAAATGGAAAACGTTTGGTGAGAGCATCATGTGTGTAAAACTTGTTTTCAGCTAAACTGATGAGTGTTAAATTGGCCTTTTGTTCTAGAACGAGATGTTTACCTTTCTGAAGTAACTTGCATGCAGCTGAACAAGCAGCGCTTTGCACATGTTCAGCGTCCAGGCATGCATGAATCGTGCTTACCGTGCCATAAGGGTTGTGTAATCAGTATAGCCACTTTCACAAGATTGGGGTTACTCAAGATGTGCGTCTATAGACGTGATTTGTCAAGAAAGCTTAAATTTGGCTGCATTAAAAAGGCAGCAGACTGCCATCTGACTTGGAAAGCATTTGTTAAACTAGCTGCTGCTCTCAAAGGAGGATGCAATTTTGTCTAATCACTGTAACTGTACTAATAATATTTTAATATTAATGTGTTCCACTTATTGACTTTCACTGAAGGAAAGAGCTATAATGAAATTCTTTTGAAAACAATCAGAAAAACAAACCAAAAAGCTGGCAAAAAAAAAAAAACCAACAAAAACCCCACACTAAAATGAGAGAACTGAGTCTAAACAGACTTTCCGCTCAAACCATTTCTCAGACACTTTTAGCTCAGAAAGCAAGAATATGAATTTTTAGCTTAGTTTTGGTTTTGGGGGTTTGTTTTTTGTTTGGCTGGTTTTAGTTTCTTAAGACAGGTCACAGAAAATACACGCTAATTGCATCTCTTGCATATCTGCATACTTCACCAATCAAACTGCCTAAATTGTATTAGGGGCAACATAGTAGTCCTGTAGTAATAAAACTTGTTTCAAATTCACAGATGACTTTGGTGTGTTTTACTCGCTGAATATACTATGTATCCCCCAGGTTTGTCTTTCTGAAAAAATGAAATTAATAGAAGAATTGAGGTGGGGGGAAAGAAAAATTTAAAAAGGATAGAAGAAAACGACCTGTTCCTCTGGCTGTTTGGTTTTTTTTTCCTCTAGGGGAATGTATTCCTACTTCTCATTGATGTAGAAGGTAAATTGTACACAAAATTAAACTGGAAATAAGTAACTACCTAGAAAATAAACATAGAAAGTTCCCTTACGCTGGGGTCTGCCTTTTTTACAAGTTCTCCCGTTGTTACTGCTGTTCTGTTCTTGATGAGTCTACTATTTGGAAGTTGTCTGTTATGAAAAGTAATTGATGGGTTTTCATGGATTTTTATTTTTTGACAAACTTGGTTATTCCAAGTCTGCAGAATAGAATAATCTATAGGCTGTGTAAGTTGACTTGTACTTGTGTTTGTTGCTGCCATTGTGAACATTAACATTGCTTGGATTTTGTTAACTGTCTTATCAGTGGCGTTTGGACGTCCACAACTTCATCTGTCTCTAAGGGCGTTGCTAGGTTTTTGTTTTGCTGCCAAAATTTAAACCAAAGAAAGACGTAAAGCTTCTAGTTGGAAACAAACATTTATAATATGGAGTAAGCTAATGGCCGAAACTCTTGAGTTTTAACATGTCTATTTAGAGCTGGATTTTACATGATAGTAACTAAAGTATTGTCTAAGTAGCGGAGAGAAGTGTATAATGAAATTAGAAGCAAAAAATTGAAGCAGCTTTGAGACGAAGGGTGCTATGAAATAAGGTCAAGGTGAATTAGCACAGTCCTCCTTGCAGTCTTTGTCTTAGTTTCTAGTCTGACAGGAGGATATTGACTGCCGATAAAATCAGGGTAGGAAGGCAACACTTTCATTAAAATTGCATGATTTTGGATCTTGAAACAGACCCTACTTTTCCCGCTCTCCAGCATCAAGAAAATGATCCATATCTCATTTTGCTTGAAAACCATTCAACCAGCTGTAATTACCTGTTAGTCACCATTCTAGAGATATGGCTAATTACTTTTAATTAAAAGTAATATTTTGATACAGTTCTGCTATTTCTGCTGGGAATTGTTTTAAATTTATTATATGCTTACCACCAGTTCTCTGCAATACAGCTTAGGGAGGAGGAGTTTGCACTCTGCTGTTCAATAGCAACAGGTCTTAAGAGTATTAAGGAAGAAATTCTCAAGGGTCTTTATGTCGTGGATGGAAATGGAATCATTACTGTATTTTTGAACTCCTGCTAACGTCATTGACACCCACCTACAGTCCACTAGAAATATAAGTGCAGAGATCAGTTTGTTCACAGATTGCAAGGAGACTAACCAAGAAGGGGCAAGCCAGAGCCAAATTCACTGGTAAGCTTTATTTTAAAGAACGTGAAAGGGAGAATTATTTCTTCTTGACTTTTTCCCCTTGATTCAAGTTGTGAAATGAGTCTCTAGTATATTATACCAGGCTGTATTATTATTGCACTTGTTAATATATGTAGTACACTTTCATTTCAGGCAATTTTAAAAATTGAGCACTCTGGATCTCAAGCTGTATTTTTGCATTCTCTTTGGAACACACAAAGGTCTAACGCTGTAACTAATCAGCCAATGAAAATGGCTGTGTGTAATAACAAATGTAAATTTACAAACTTAAATATTTTGCTAAATGTCATTACTAGTCCCTCTCAAAAGGAGAATCCAGTGCCTAGAAATAGCTTGGTATGGGAAACACTTCTTTAGAATAACTTGTTCTTCCTGGTAGATGGGTACTAGGAAAACAAAAAAAAAGTGGATGGCACGTGGGTGTAACCTGCAGTAGGCAGATTTTCCTTGCCCTGGATAGATTATTTTCAGTGTTCCACTGGATTGTCATGCTTGCTCTATTTGTTACCAGTGACAGCTTTGTAGGACTTAAGGAGTCTGGTTCATTGTCCTTCTTACAGGTAGTCTGTTCGTCTCCTCAGCATGTGGAAGGTGGTGCTCCTGGGTCTGTACACAGCATTGGCTGTGAGAGGATTGGCAAAGGCTGCTCCTTTCCAACCAGAAGAAAAATGGAAACCGCTAGATAACCCTAGAAACAGAGACCTGGTAAGGAAGTGCGGCAAGAATGACAGCCTAAGTTTTGTGGGGGGTTTTTTGGTTCTCATCACGAGAAAGTTTTATCCTCTAAATTTAAGGGTAAGAGGGGCCCATTAAATGTAGTGTTAGTAATTGTGCACTTTTTATAGTCAGTGACCACAACCGGATGAGCATTCTTCAGTCAAGATGTACCCCTTAACTGAAGAGTCGTTCTTGGTGTTCAGCGGTGCAGGACACTACTTGTATCTCTATCCAGCAGCTTTAGTTTTTAAAAATGTGTTTGGGTTATACAATCACTCATTTTACAGAACAGAAGAGGAATGATTATTATGTTTCTCTCAAATGTGTACTCTGTTGATCACGTGTTTCATCTCCTGGAAGTACAAATAAGTTTGCATCTGACACATTGTGAATAGTGGCTGAAGATCTGCAAGTTAATTACAGCTAAAAAAATATCATTAAAAGAACACTTGCAAGATCTTATAAGGAATTTGTGAAGGAAAAATATTCAGTCTCCCACCATTTTTCCTCACTGTTTTAAGAAGCATGAATTTCTACTTCTGAGTGATCTAAGGCGCCAGTTCAGATCAATTACCCACTGTTGCTAACTCTTAGGGAACATTTCTCTGAGAAACTTGTAAGTAACAACTGCAGTGTTTGCTCTCGGCAAAGGTGTTGCTGTGCCTGTTTTGTAAGGGGTACAGTTTGAATGTAAGGGATACAGTTCAGTGCGGAGCACAGATGGTCAGTAAACAGTTGGTGGTCTTTCAACACCATGTAAAGTCCACAAGACAAGGACGGAGTGGACATGTCTGAATTATGTTGCCTATATTGCACCAGTTTATGATGAAAACAGAAGATTTCATCCCAGATAGGAACAAATATTACATGTACTTTGTGTCAGTAAGAATAATTACTCTCCATTGGGCATGCTCTATTTTCACACATGAAATATGTTCAGTTTTTCAGAACGCTCCAGGCTTATTTTTCGGGCAGGGGTCTTGATCTCAGAAAGTTCCCAGCTACTTTCACTATGAACAATGAAGGACCAAGGCCTGTCATGTTCTACTCAGATCCTATTGCTTCTGCATTTGCAGATTATGAAGAAAGGAGAAATTCTTTTCCAAGTCATTTCAAAGGCTGAAAGATGCTGCTGACCAAGGTAAAAGAGGATGCCTTTTCCTCTAATGTTCCATGTAATCAAGTGAAAAATTTGGATTCTCACTTCTGTCTGAAGTGTAAAAACAACTTCTTTTTCAGAAAAATGAACTTCTTTTTCATTAAGAATGTAGCATGTTAACTTTTGCCTGAAGTTGGTTTAAAATTGTTGAGGTAGAGATTTATGAGATATTTACTACTTGGTAAAATAACACGTGGTGCTTGAGCAGACCTATACAGACCATGCTTTATTTTTTTTCTCCTTTTTTTTTCATGTGGAAAAGAATTCAGAAGATGTACAGATAGTAGAGAATGCAGCTTTTATTTAAGTAATTGGTATCAGCAAAATTATAAATTGAAACTAATGGTTTCCTGTGATACATATATCTTAAAGTTAATTTATACATAAGATACTGCACTAACAAAGCATATGGTATCTCTGTCCATCCGTGCTGTCTCCCTTATTTCTGCCACGGAAATTGAAGGTTGAATCAAATTGTTGCAAACTTATTCACATCTCTGAATACATATGAATTAAAACTGAAGTGGGTCAAGCTTGCATTATTAACAAATCCAGCCTGAATTTACAGCAGGTACTTCTCAGCTATATTATCTATGCATAACCGTACTCTGCAACAAATAAATCCGTTCATTACTCATTTTGAGGGTCAGTGAATACTGGCAATCTGGAGAAAAGGTAAACAGTCGTTTTCTCCCATTTTACAAATGGGTGAAGATTTCACTAAGGTTTGAATCTAAGCATTTTGGTGATCTACCCAGTATCTTAGTGATTCATTTGTAATCAATAGCTCAAGATTTTTAGCTCTGTCCTGATCTCTGCTTAAGCACATCTCTTTCTGTGACCAAAAGCTCAGCTCCACTATTCTTATTATCACGAATAATAATGAAGACTGCACTCTAATTTGAATACTAAGTTCTCTTTTTGCTGAGTTTATATATCAGGAAAAAAAAAATGCCACACAGTGAGCATTGTGCGTGACACACAAATGAAAAGGGACTTCAAAAGGGATGCTGTAGCTCTGCTGTAGGTTACAGCAACGGTGATGCCCGGTGGAAGTAATTTATGCTTCATAGTTCAGGGTGATCACAGTAGTTGAGAGTCATTCTCTGAAGGCTGAGGTCTGCTGGGGTATTTCGGCCAGTGTTACCAGGTCTTGGTTTGGATCACCCCCTGGCTGCATACAAGTGTTTCTGTATTTGTCTCATATGCTGCTTTTTTTTCTGTCTTTCAGGCATTAACTTTTACCACTTCGCATGAAGTTCAACCTTCACAGCAAAATAGTACTGCTTTGACTTTTTAACTGTTAGCTGGCAATTCAAAATTCTCCCCAGTATCAGAGTTTTTACCCGTGGAATCTGGTGTCATGCTGTAACGGGTGCGTTTGCTGTCTGTTGACAAGCGCGTGACGTTTGGCTACTACGCTTGGCCCAGCTGTGCGTTTAAACGTGAATAAACGAGGAGCGCAACGGGGCGCTTTTAGCTACTCCTACCTGTCTTTGTTCAGAACTGGTAAATAAATGTTACCTTCAATTTACTGGAGCTAGATGTCGTGAGCTGTTCCGCAGTGGTGGTATCAGATACTCTTCTGTCAGAAGTTGTCTGGTTTCTTGGGCGACCGAAGCCTTGGCGCCCGATGGCTGCTTGCGTGAATAAACGAGGAGCGCAACGGGGCGCTTTTAGCTACTCCTACCTGTCTTTGTTCAGAACTGGTAAATAAATGTTACCTTCAATTTACTGGAGCTAGATGTCGTGAGCTGTTCCGCAGTGGTGGTATCAGATCCTCTTCTGTCAGAAGTTGTCTGGTTTCTTGGGCGACCGAAGCCTTGGCGCCCGATGGCTGCTTGTCCCTCACCCCCAGCCCCTCACACCCCACCAACAAGTCATCTGCGCCATAACTGTATTCCTATACGAAGTTAACAAACCCTTCTCATGTACAAATAACACCTATTTCTGAGGAAATAAAAGATGACCTAGCATCTTACAGTGTGGTCGGTAGCAGAGGAACGTGCCTCGTGTCTCCCTCAGCCCCGCCGAGACAGTGAGTGCAGGAAGGGCGGCTACTGCCGCGGCTCCCCACAGCCCCCCGCGCTCAGGACAGCCCCCCGGGCCCAACCGCACGGCTGCCCGTTCCCAAGGCCCGGTCCTTGCCCAGGGCCGCA